GTCAATCATTTTTCAGGAACCTTCTTATGTTACTGAAAGACTACATTTCTTCTATTGTGAGTAAGTTAGACTTACCCTGATCCCCTCAAAAGAGCCAGTCTAGGAAGAACAACTATGATAGCCCTTTCTAAGACCTTCCTTTATCTGAGATCCATCAATAGCTACTTACATGGTTTCATAAAATACTACTGCTTAGAACTGGCTCCCATCTAACTTGGAAAGGGAGTCCCACAACAGTTAGTCTTCACTTCCCTTATCCCAGTGATCAGAAGTCACTTTGACAGGATAGCTTCTTTGATGACAAATCCAACAGCAATTTTAGTTTGTAATCCTTCTCCCACCAGAGTTCTAGCTTATGTCCTTGCCTATATTTTGTTTTCTCTGAGACAACTGGACCTGAAGATAACAACATAAACACTGCTAGTATAGACAGAGAGGAGCCCTGGTGGTGCAGTGGTTAAAGCATTCAGCTGCTAATCAAAAAGTCAGTGGTTTGTACCCACCAGCTGCTCCATGGGAGAAAGATGAGGCAGTTTGCTTGCATAAAGATTTGCAGTTTTGAAAACTCTATGGGACAGTCTACTCTGTCTTATAGGATTGCTGTGAGTCAGAATGGACTCACTGGCAGGGGGTTTGGTTTGGTTTGGTAATACAGAGAGAAAGCAAAGAAAAAGTTTTGTAGTGGCATAGTGGATAAGGCACTTGACTGTTAACTGGAAAGTCAGCAGTTCAAACCCACCAGCTGCTCCATGGGAGAAAGATGAGGCAGTTTGCTTGCATAAAGATTTGCAGTTTTGAAAACTCTATGGGACAGTCTACTCTGTCTTATAGGATTGCTGTGAGTCAGAATGGACTCACTGGCAGGGGGTTTGGTTTGGTTTGGTAATACAGACAGAAAGCAAAGAAAAAGTTTTGTAGTGGCATAGTGGATAAGGCACTTGACTGTTAACTGGAAAGTCAGCAGTTCAAACCCACCAGCTGCTCCATGGAAGGAAGACTGAGTGATCTACTCCCATAAAGATTTACAGCCTTGGCAACCCAACAGCAGTCGCTATGAGTTGGAAATGACTCAGTGCCTGGGAGTTTGGTCTTTTGGATTAAAGACTTTCTCTAAAGCGCCGAGAAGTAGCAAAGTGTCTTCCTCCTCAGCTTTTACAATCACTTGACTATAAAGCGCTTAATGCAGTTTTTTAAACATGACATCTCTTCAAGTAGCTTATACATGTATGTGTTAATGAATTTTAACAAAAACAAATGGTTTATCTCCATATAGTATATGTTGCAAAATCTGTTCACATGGGGAATTTCTGAACTATCGTTATTTCAAGATAGATGAAATTTTGTAAAATTTACCCAATATTCAATTTGAGTGTCATTTATTTAGAAAACAATTGTCTCACACTGACACATATAACAATCTTACTACAATCTAAGTGGACTTCTATTAGCAACATAGATTTGGATCATCATACAGCTTGAATCTGAACAGCACATTTTTTTCTCTCAAACTTTGATGCTAGGGGCTCCCTCAGAGTCTCAGGCTACAGGACGGAACAGCTGAAGGGTTTAAAGGAGAAATAATGCAAACCCTTCTACTTTCTAGAATCTAGCAAGCCAACGGTTTTTTGCATCACCAACTTCCTGGGTGAAGACAATTAGGGTTCTGACATTAAAATAATCATGTCAGTATTTTGGGGGTTGTTGTGTTGTTGTTATATTTTGGGGTTATTACAATAAAATTTTATCTTTTGCCAAAAAGTGGGATACTCAAATTCAGCAAACACATTACGTACTTGGAGTCAGACAAGCAGACTGCAGGCTTCAAGCATGCAAGGTCCTTATCTGTATTTCCAATCACTGTGTGTGTGATGCAGTAGCACTCCAACAGAAGGCATTAAAAAATTATTGAATAAGTGACTGAATGTGTGAATCTCTCTAACCTGCTCTCTGGCACTGCATAAGCAATAAACTTTTTTTTCTCTGAAAACCTATCAAATGAGAATAAATGTTTTTGGTACTGAGATTATACTTTTAATGATAATGTGTCCTATTCTTTTTTGCTTAAGAGCAAGCAGCAATGCCTCAGGTAGTAAGCTATCGCTTTACTTAGCAAAAGTATTCTGGGTTTGAAAAAGCTTCTCAAATCTAGAAAGGTTTCATTTACTCATTCATCTATATTAATGAATTAAATGAGTATAGACATTTTTAGTTCTTTATGAGATTCTGTGGAAATGAATTCATTTTGTGTGATACACTCAATTCTTTAAAAAAAACTAACAAAACAAGTGCTTCCCTTGGACTGGCAATCCTAATCAGCCAGGCTCCACTGGAGAAGAGAAGTGGCAAGAAATGAAAGTAGAGAGACAAGAAATAGTAAAAAGTGACAGAGAAAGAAGAGGGCAGCAGACATAAGTAGATTGTCAGAAAGAGTAAGGAAATCTATTAGGGGCAGAGTCACTAACACAGGAGAAAAGGCAGATTTGGGAAAGAGAAAAGAGAAAACTAACTAGGGTACCCAACAGTGGAGACAATCAATCAACGTGCTTCAGCAGCTCCTGAGGGCATGAATCCTGAGAGATACTCTTCATAGGTATTATTTAGTTGGTAAGAAATTACGTTCTGTATCTCCTACTTTACAAAACATAAAAAAATTTCAAAAACAATTCAAGTAAAATCAGCCAAAGTGGTAGCAGAGGGTCCCCAAAAGGCCAAGAACTTCATCTGATTCTGTATTGTATCCTCAACACCTGACATGTGGAAGACCCTTAATAACATTTTATGGAAAGCAAGAAACAAAGTGTTTGGATTTAAAAAAAAAAAAAAAAAAGGAAGCAAACACTACTACCTGGACATTTAACTTAGTCCAAAACCTAATTCTAGTGTTTAGGAAATACTAAGCATTTAAAATTTTTAGTTCTGAAATTTTAAACTCTTCCTGAAATAGATAGGCTGATTTTATTGAAGTATAAGTCTCAGAATGGAGAACAGAGTAAGTATTTCAAAAGCAAATGTTTAACAAACTGATTAGAGTCAGCATAGCAGAATAGGTTAATTTTGTTAACATATGTAGCTTTTGGGGCCCTTAAAACAACTTAACAGATAAATAGAATTTTAGGAAAGGGATCCACCATGTATAAAAAGCAATTTCACAGTAAAGACAACTTCACAATTTAAATACACAGTCTCCACCTCTAGCTGTTATCTGAATAGGAAGAACTGATACTACATTATCAGTTTGAGGAGGGATATTCTAATTAATTATAATATGGCAGGGAGCTCTGGTGGCATAGTGCCTAACGCATTTTGACTGCTAACCAGAACGCTAGTGGTTCAAACCCACCAGCCACTCCTTGGAAGGAAGAATCTACTTCTGTAGTGATACCGCCTTGGAACCCAAGAAGGAGTCCCTATGAGTCCAATCAACTTGATGGAGGTGAGTTTGGTTTTTATAATGTAGCAACAATATTAATTCAAAGTTAATCTCCACCTTAAAATAGTCTATAAAGTACAGACATATAAAAGGAGTTCTGATTCTTCTTCATAATTTATACCTAAAATGGTAATATTATACCACATGGTTTTTCTCCAGAGTCAAATTGGTTACTGGTATGAAAGAAGCTGATAAAGGTCACCTATTTGGTATCAAGGATAGATCTGATTAAAGATGTGACCTGTTTTGATAACTCTCTGTACCAGAGATCTGTTAAAATAAACAGATCTATCTAATGGGATCAAATTGGCATCAGCAACTTGAAAGAGCAGATAGGAAATTTAGGGGATGGTGAGTTTATGGTAATGGGGCAGGAATAATTCAGAAAAGGAGGATAAGAGTGGTTGTGCAACTAGAAGAATGCAGTCAATGTTACTGAATCGGTACATGCAGAAAGTGTTGAATTAGTGTATGTTCTGCTGTATATATTCTCAACAACAAAAATAAATCATTTTAAAAATAAACAAACAAGAGAATGAGTACTACGGGGCCAAATGTTTTACTACCAGTTCTATTTAATTTTGCCAAGAAAAATCATAGTTCATGAAAAACTGACTATAAATGCCAATAAAGGAAGCTAGTACTATAATGGTTGTAATTGTCTTAGAAAGCTTTTCACATGATTTTAGTTGCACATATATTTTATAGTCTTGTTACTCTTCCATTTTCCACCTGAAGTTATTTTTCTTAAAGACAATGCTGAGCTAAAAAACAATGGATAAAATGGGACTTAAATGGCAAATGGGAGAGAGGGGGAAACACGGGGGGAGGGAGGTGAAGAGGAAGAAGAAAAGTGGCTAGTATCCCAATTTTCCAAGGAGGAAAGAGAGATTCAGGTAGTAAGTAACTCCACTAGACTGGGAACTGATGGAGTCAGTATGGCATCAATGTTAATGCTAAATTATTTATAATAATATGATTTAGTCAAGCAGTACATTTTAAGTTTGTTCAAACTGAGAGCCTAACAATTCATACTATAAGAAAGAGAAAACTCACAGCATGCAACTTACTGGCTTAAAAATTTATCCAGTATGCCCTGGTCTTAGTGTATTTTAAAATGTTTCCTCCATTCTGTTAGACTGTTTCAAGGAACATTTTTAAAAAATACATTGATAAGAGGAAGAAACAGTGAGCATATACTGTAGTTTATCTTCTAGATATATGAAAAGAAAAATGAGCTTTCCTTTTAAGAATATGACTAATCTCTCGTCCTGATCATAATTCCTGGGACTGCCATATAAAAGTTACAGGAATGTAAAAAAAAAAGGTGTTCATAATGCTTACCATACCTGGAAGCATGCAATATGAGTTCTTAAAGTATATACATAATAATGGTTAAAAATCATTTTATTCAACACATGTAAATAAATACAACTAGTAACTATTAAAAGTTCATGTTAACGAAAATGTCTCTGTGTTTGATATCAGAGAAAACTTATAAAAACATGCAATGTTTAGCACACATATGCTTCTTAAATTTCATTTTACTTAGATTTTATCTTTAATTTACCTCTGCAATCTCTATCCTTTTTGCAAGATCGTCAAGAGAAAGACAGCTATCATCAGAAGGTAGATTCTCCTGTAAACTATAGGATGCTTCTTCAGGAGAAAGATCTTGAAGGAGATCAGAGTCTTCCTCTTGGTTATCTTCATATGAAAGAGTATCTTCAGTATCTTTTAAGCATCCTTCTAAAAGGCTGTTCAAATAATCTTCTGTTTCTTTGCTGACTGGATCATCCTTGTCTGCCTTTTCCTCTGGGGCCATATAAACCTCTGGAAGTGCTGTACTCAAGTCAGATATTTTATTATTTTCACAAAGTGCACTCTCAGAGCCATCTGAGTCAGTCTGACTCCATGGTGATTTTCCATCACTGTCGGTGAAGTCAGGTTGCTGCAGCTTATTTAATTCATTGTTCTCAAGTTGGTCTGTGGCCAATGCCTCAGAAGCATCCTGAAGAGGCAACAGGAGTTCCTTTCTTTCAGTCTGTGAGTATTTACCCTCAAAAATCAACACAGAAGGTATATGGTCACAGCCAGGTAAGATTAATGGCTTAATTGACTCGCTGGAAAGTAACACCTTAGGATCTTCAGCAATGCCCTCTGTTCTGGCTACATTTTTGTAGACCTCTGTTTCAGCCAGCTGCAAGCCACTGTCTTGCTGACAAAGATTCTCAGAACAATCTGGCCCAGACCTGCTCCCAGCTGTCTCTGAAGACTGGGTGTGGAGCTCCAGTGTGGCTTCAGTGCTGCGGAGCGGCTCCTCCTTGTGGTCCTTCCCTGTAGTTGCTAGAAGGCTGGAGGAATCGGCCTGCCCATCAGTCTGATTACAGCAGAGGCTGCTCTCCTGGGTCTCTCCTTTATGTTGGTTTTCTTCACTTGGTTCCATGCCCAGACAACTTTCACTCTCTAAAACAGTGAAAAATAAGTTTTTTTAAGACTCAAAATGATAGTAAGTACAGAGGGGAAGAGAGGGACAATTAACAATGTATAATACAACAATATTCAAATGCTCTCAAATGAAGGTAACGATGTCTTTAGGTACAAGGAACATCCTAAATATTCAGCAAATAATCCATTACATGTCAAAATGAATAGAGATTACTCAGAAACATGTTAACAGTATGAATAAATAATTAAGCTTCATTATAATTAGAAAACTTCATTTTCAAAGGTTTGAAAGATAGTTTTCTGAACTTTATTAACTTTTTATATGATTTAAATTAATATATTCAACTTTAGAAAAATTATTTTCAGTACAGGTAGTCCCTGACTTGCATGACATATGTGAGTTATGGTGAACTGCACTTATGACTGTTATTTTTTTTTTTGTACATCTTATCATTAATACATCTTCCTGGTGGGAAGAAAATGCAGGGGACATGGCAAAAATTAGGAGCTCTGGTGGTGTAGTGCCTAAGACTGCTAACCAGAAGGCTGGCAGTTCAACCCACCAGCCACTCCTTGGAAGGAAGATGGGGCAATCTACTTCTGTAGTGATGCCGCCTCAGAAACCCAAGGAGGGGTTGCTATGAATCAGATCTGACTTGATGGCAGTGAGTTGAGTTGAGTTGAGATGGCAAAAATTGCTGAGTTAAGTGAACATGCTCCAAGCATTTGATCAAAATAATATGATGGAAGAGATCGTGGAAAAATCATCCATATGGCAAGAATGCTAAATCTTCACTTGGTATTGCTGATATGGAACACCTCACACATCACGAAGGAGAACTGACAGATCAGGACTAAACAGATTTTGAAGAAGAAAGAAATGCTGAAGAAGAAGGAGAGAAGTTAAAAAAAAATTACAGTAAATTAAAATCATGGGCTTCAGTTACTTGAAAACATGGACCCAAATGCTGATCACTTTGTTAAAGTTGATCAGCAGACTCAGGAAGCAATGAGATGTTACATGAAACTTATGAAGAAAAAAAAGACAAGGACCATACAGACAACTCTCACTAATTTTCTGACTAGAAATGCCATTACTGTTCCCAGGGATAATCCAGAACCTTCTACAAGTGGAGTTATTTCCACAACTGACATAATGCCAACATCATACAAATTTTCTTCATCGTCGGAGTAATTTTTTATGATTTATGTATTTTTTATGTATGTAAGTATTAAAACATATCTGTAAGTTTATATGTAATGTTTCCAACCCTGAAAGACAAATAAAGGTTGGATTTATAAAGATACTAAGAGCCAATAATAATGAAAACAAAACCAAAAAAAGAGTATTCAACCTATGTCAGAACCAACTTATGACAGAATTGTCCAATGAAAACCCATCATTAGTTGGGGACTACCTACATATTTAAGGCATGGCATATTAAGTAAATACTTTTACATGATGAACAATAGTAATACATTTAGAATTTAAAATCTTACGAAAGTAATATTGATTCGGATCTACCAAGACTAAAGCAAAGAACATAATATCCTTAATTCATGTGTTTGCAAATTACTTACAACTTGTTAAAGGGATGCAGCAAAGGGCAGCAGTAAAAAGTGTAAGTAAGATTCAGCACTCAACAGAATTGGTTTAGAATTTTAACATCTCTTTCAATTTCTATTTTTAAATATTTATAAAATAAATTTTAAATACTTTAAAAAACTTAAATCAAATTTAAAGTATTTTTCTTTCACTTTAAACAGTTAAAAATCTTCACATATATACTAAATGGTAATCCATAAGATGACTGGTAGGTTGCAAACAAGTTTGTTCATGACTCAGTTTACCACTGTTTACATTCCTACTGTAGACGTTTAAATTTTTTTTTAAATATCATATCTTGTTAAATTTAGGAGCTCTGGTAGCATAGTGCCTAAGGCACTTGACTGATAACCAGAAGGCTGGTGGTTCAAACCAACCAGCCACTCCTTGGAAGGAAGGTCGGACAATCTACTTCTGTAGTGATACTGCCTCGGAAACCCAAGGAGGGGTCACTATGAGTAGGGTCCGATTCAAAGGCACATAACAACAATTGTTAAATTTATACAAATAATGGGTCAAAGATTAAAATCAAAGATAAAATATGGTGATAATTATATTCCATTTAATAATTAATTATCAGCTGACAATTAAGGGCTCTCTACCTGGAACCCTGAACCAAAGTAAAGGCATTTAAGTATCCAGTCCTCTGATTGCAGAGAATCAGGGACTGAGGTGGTACCTGCTGAGGTACCAGTTCACTAGAATTTGTACTATGACTCCCATACACTGGCTCAATTATCTGATGAGCACCAGGAAAAGGAAGAAGAGGTTACTTTTTGGGAGAGTACAGTATTCCTTCCCTTTTCCTACTCCACTCAGTTTGGGAGACTGTAAGAAAACAGATGGACCTTTCACTCCCTGTAGATTGTCTGCTTAGCCAATGAGCTTGCTGACTAGCCTCTTTTAAAAATGGGGGAGGAGAGCAAAGAGGGCCATAACCAGGTGGAAAGAAGCTATGTCTCTCCTTCACAAATTTCCAGTACCCAAATATCCCAACAGGTTACAGAGTAAATAAGACTTGAGGGGCACATTCTCAGAGGTACTCCTATATGATTAAAGCATAGGGCAGAGAGAATCCCATATCAGATGAATGGGATGTGCTGTCCTTAGCTCCTTAGTAAGGGAGCTCTGATGGTGTAGTGGGTAAGGCATTTGGATGCTAAGCAGAAGGTCAGTGGTTCAAACCCATCAGCTGCTTCACAGGAGGAAAATGAGACATCTAAATTTTTCAGCCTTGGAAGCCCAATCAATGGGGGTTACTGTGAGTTGGAATTGACTCAATGAAAGTGTTTTTTTCTTTTCTTTTTTTTTTTTTTTTGAGGGGGGTTGTGCTTAGCTGAGGGTCAGTTAACTAAAGAACAGCCAATATCTAGGAGACCTGCTCTACTTGGGAGTAAGGTATTCCTTTGCTGGTCCTGCTAGACCCACCACATGTCTCTCATAGACCTAATTCTGAGTTCAGTCATAAACATTAACTGAGTGAGCAAACTTTAAGCTAAGTAGGCCTGAGGGCAGGGAAGGAAGAGCTATGAATAAATTGAGATTTCAGTAAAATGAAGTTTTGAATCTGAGTCTTAAAAGAATAAAAATGAAAGGTTGGGCAATCCTACTTCCGTAGTGATACTGCCTCGGAAACCCAAGGAGGGGTCGCTATGAGTCAGGGCTGACTTGACGGCACATAACAACAACAACAACACAAGTAACTGAAAAGTTGTAGAATCAGAATGTGATATCTGTGGGAGTTGACTGCAGTTAATAGCAGTAACTGGGCAAAATACAACCATTTTATGTACAATCTCTAAATAACTTAAGTGGTGAATAATAAAGACTATATACATAGCTATAATGTGTTATTTATAAAACGGCCTGAAAATGGTTTTTATCCCATTATTGAGAACAATACAAAAAATTATGGAAAATAGGGTAGGTAATTTAAGATGCAAAGGGCATCAAGTTCCAACCAGATCGTGAGAGCAGTTGTAGTTTTATTTTTGATGTCATACAGAATTTAAGTTATATTTTTAATACTTACTAACTCTCCAAAGCAAATAAGATGTATGCTATTTAATTTTTTTGTGTGTCAAATTATGCCTTTCGTTACACTAATTACAGTGAATTAAGTACTGTGTATCACTTGGTTAAATGAGAAAAAGCTATTAATTTTCCTTACAAGTAATGAAAAACAGTAGTCCTCTGCCTCTGTAGATCCTCACTGCCTCTGATTCCTGTTCTCTAGGGGCAATCACTTCCAATTCTGTTACATGTTTCCCCTCATATTTAACCTCCATATTTCTGTAAGACTTATATTATTCCTTGATCTTTTGGTTTTAGACATCATCTATTGACTTCTCACTATAGAAGATGACAATTCGCTCTCTCACTTCTTTTGATTCCTTTCCTACTTATGATGCATATGCTCCCACCCCCAGCTTTCCATTATAGTTCAACACAATTCTAGAGTAAATCAATGATTACATTACTATGGCTTTGTAATATTATTCACAAGTGATCCACATGTGTATTGTGATAAATTTTCCTTTCTCATTTAAGCTTTCTTTTCTTTGGTGTTGAAAATTACCTTATTACTTTTTTTTTCTTTTACCTTTATTTACATATTTCTAAACCCTGACAGATACAGAATTATGATCTATGTACAAAGAGATAATTTATCCTTTTAATTTTTTTTTTAAATAGACATCCCTCTTGAATCTCAGATTGTTCCCATCTGCACTACTTGCTCTCCAGGCCTGCGATGAAGGTATTGTCTATGAATATCCCTACAATGTAAGCCTAGGAAAACAAATGACATATTTCATTAAGCAAATCTGCTGCAAAAGACCTCTTTAAAGTGTTAAAAAAGGAAAGATATCACTCTGATGACTAAGGTGTACCTGACCCAAGATGGCTGTTAAGAAGTCTAATACCATTTTGAATTCCAATTCCTTGTAATTTACATTTTCTCTCTGTAAGTTTTAGGTTCTCTTCTTTATACTTGGTACTCCGGAACCTAAGTTTCCCATTCATTGTGTTAGGCATGTAAGGTGTTTTAAGTCTGGAAACTCATGAGATTCAATTCTGGGAAATTTTCTCGTATTTTTTGACAATTTGTTTCTTGCAGCATTCTATTTCCTCCTTTAGGAATACGTTTATTAAGATTTTGGACCTCATAAAATGATCATATACATCTTTTCTGTCATACTGTTCATCTCTTTGTTGTTGGTTCAACTCTGGGATACTGCTTCAATTTTATTTTTCAATTCTTGTAATTATTTTTTTATTTCACCTCTCACAATTTTAATTCTAAGAATTTTGCTTTTTATTATTGAAATATACTTTTTTTTAATCATCTTATTACTGTTACCATATATGCAGTATTTTCTCTAATTTCTTGCAATGTTGTTGTTGTTGTTGT